ATATACATATATATATATATATAGAGTCATGCATACACACACACACACACACACACACACACACACACATATATATATATATATATATATATATATATATATATATATATATATATATAACGTCATCCACAGACAGAATGTTTCGCTGTTTCACAGCTCATCAGTGTGGCTAGACATCCGGTTGCCTCTAGCTAGGATCGAAACCCGACTGAATTGGTACTGTACTACTGTATTGATGCGGCATTCACACTGGGCGGATTGAGAAGAAGATTCTTGGGATAAATTACAGAAGTAGGGTACCCAGGCCTACTCGGATAACGTTCTTGCTTGCCGCGGGGTTCCCACAGACGCAGAGACAGGAACGACCAGAAGCCGCCGGTTACCGATGCAGACGCTCCTTGGATTTTCACCAGAGCCCTTGTTAGCCGACGTGTGTGTCAGACCTGTCTGCCTTGGGTGGCCCTACCAGGAACGAAGTTCCGGGCGGCATAGCTCTGACACTACCGTTTACACCCCCACACCGACTGTGAGGTAAGGGTTGGACTTTGAATTGGTGTCAGTCGGAGATTCTAACGATTAAGCCGTCGGCGCACGGTAGGGATGAAAGTGGATTTTTTTAGCGTATTTATTTTTAGAAACACGCCCAGTGACCGACAGTGACTCAATTCGTATCTGCGAAGAGTCTCGCTATATAGCTATAATAGTCACTGTTTACCAACCCACACCTCGTCCCCAGAGAGCTCAACTGAAATTGATATTTCAGGAGCCAATATAACGTCATCCACAAACATATATTGTTAAATATTACAAACAACGAATCTCTAATGTGTTTGCTGATGAACCTTTCTAAGCTTTGAATAGTTAATTTCGGGAGGGAATAAAGACAAAAACGGTCCAATATTTGGAGATCTTTTATTAAGCTTCTCTTGGAGACATCATCACAGTGGTTCTATGTCTTTATTTTCTCCGGAAGAAAGAAAGAAAATGTTGGTATTTATCGGGCACCTAATGAGGAAAGAGGGCTTGCAGAATTTGATATTCCTAGGATAGTTTTAAAGGAAGACGGACAAAGAAAGAAAAAGCAAAATCTACCCAGAGAACTTATGAAAATGGATGACAGAGCAGAGTTTAGGAGGGATAAAAAAAAAAACAAAAATAAAAATGTATTAAGTTCTATAAAGAACCAGAAATTGTGGAGAACGACGATGGTCAGCATTCTGAAGTGACACCTTCCGTTGTTTTCGTCATTTGATTTTCTTTTATTTGCAGAAACGACGAACAAACAAGAATATCTCTACAGCTAACGAAACGCTGAACGTTCTAAGGCGCATAATGAAGAATTCGATCTTAGAAAACTGTACGCTCACAGGACATTGATGACAAGAGAGACAGATGCAAGCAATGAATAATATATCAAACCAGCTTCTGTAATTAGTTGGCAGAAAAAGGATTCGAAGAGAGAGAGAGAGAGAGAGAAAGAGAGGGGGAGCAAAAATAATAACTTTACAGATAGCTACAAAAGAATACTAAATAGTGGAGAGCCATTATCCCCTACGCCATGAACGGTCAAAAATTAAGAAGTTGAATAAGAAAAATAACAATTTCATAGTTTCTTTTTCATTGCGTCCATATTTTTGAAATTCTCTCCTACATTCGACGGAATAAGAATATCAATTTCAATACCGTTGCAAAAATCGTAGCCTGGTCTGCATATTATCCTGTCGATTGCTATTCAGCACTGATAGATGAATCAATAGGGGAAGAGGATTTTCAGTGTATAGTTAGTTTTATTCAGTGTTGCTTACACTATAGAATTTCAGATTAAAAACTCGACGACTGAGACATTTGTCAAGATTTCTCACGTGCCAGTGCAAGATATTTTAGGAACGTTATCTGGCAGTCGGATAGACTGCGTAAAAATGGACGCCTACATTCCTTAATCGCCAAAAAGGCAATTAATACAAGTAGCTCCGAGCATAAGTCGTGATATTTTTGCCAAGTCCTTGTTCTAAATTGTTCCAAATCGCCCGACCAATATCTAACACATAAGAGAAATTAGAAAGCTATACACTGAAAATCATTTTATATTAGATATAAATAATTTTACTAAGTATATCCATAGAGCTACGCGTTCATTGTATAGCTTTCTTGGTGTTACGTGATTATCATAGAGAATAAAGATTCCTAAAGATAATTCAATAGGGAAAATACACCTTTGACTACTGAAGCGATAATCCTCTTCTTGAAAAAGGAAGCTATATCTCTTCTAGTATCTGCTAATATCACTGGTTGACGGGGCTAGGTAAGACATTGCATATGAGGTAGGTATTTAACATGCAATCTCTTGCAGTGAAGCATTAAGCAGAAAAACTGCAAAAGAAAAGAGGCATCATTGAATGTCCTAGGCCCCCGCAATGCCTACTGCAAACTATTACACACCTTGTTAAGTCTAAGATGAACCAGATGGTGCATATTTGATAGTATCTCTCCACCCCTCTCT